GTGTATACTGAAAAAGTCAAATGCATTTAAATTTTGGCTCAAATTGTTGGTTGCCAATAAAAGTTGGGTTATTAACTTGATTTATAGGTCTGGGGTGGTAGCGGACTGCAGTTCTTAATAGCGTCGGATATCCTTCTAATCTCAAATAATACAACTCTCTGCCAGGGTATTACAGAGTTAGTCAATGTCAGCACCACGGGTTTAGCCAATACACGCACCACCTCCGCCACTTGACTATACTTTGCAACCCTGCAAAGCCCTTTCTCCGAGAACCGTTAACACAACCGGCATTAACTATTTCTATGGCAACGCACACGCCAACAAAACAATTTTTATTTGCCATGAAAGAAACCCAGAAAAGTAACTTAAGAAACTAAAATGAAGCTTAAAACGCGCATTTGCAAAAGAAGTTCATTGAAAACGTCGGAAAGCACACAGGAGCGTGGCATAATCCAATCCCCCAGCTATCCGCTAAGCTGCGTGGACTGGAGCAGCAATGAGGAGATCTATTTCGTCAGGTGCGTAGCCAGAACTTAATTCAGCCCAACTTAAAGGTGATACTCCCTCTGAGCAGCGACGACCATCAAATCTATAAGTGGAGCGATGTGAGTCGCGATTCCGTGGAGGTGGCCAAGCTGCCGGATGACTTCATACCCACGGATATGCACTGGCTGCTGCTCGGTGGGCGGAGCAGTGGCGGAGGCAAGGGCAGCGATACTCTGCTCATTTGCAGCAACGACGGACGATTCATTATACTGAACAAGAGCGCGCGGGTGGAGCGCAGCATATCCGCCCACACGGCGGCAATTAGCTCCGGTCGCTGGAGTCCCGACGGCGCTGGCCTCTTGACGGCAGCCGAGGACGGGGTCATCAAGATCTGGTCACGTTCGGGCATGCTGCGGTCGACAGTCATCCAAAGCGATGAGGCGATACGCTGCGCGCGCTGGGCGCCCAGCTCAACGGCAATTGCCTTCTGCCAGGGTGGTCACATTTCCATCAAGCCTCTGGCAGCCAATAGCAAGTTGATAAGGGTGAGTTCTCCGGTAGGGTAGTTACGCTCTAGTACATTAAATTATCCAGAACAGTTAAAAATAGGTAACAGCTTTAAGAAAAAGTCAGATAATTTGGATCATAGGACACAAAATGCAATTACATTATTGAACGAGAGATATCGGTAGTATATCGCTTATAGAGTTTATCCAAAGGCAACATCCGAAATAATGCTTATGAAAACTAATTTAAAGATTACAAGGGGAAACAATGATTTATTGGGCACACCAATTTGTTTCCTAGATCTCAGCTTATTGCCATATATTATTTCGGCTAATTTGAAATGGCATTCCATTGAGGTCTTCAGTTTACCAATTTAATAATAAGATGTTGTCTTTGATGGCCTTTCTATTGCAGTGGCGGGCTCATGATGGTCTAGTTCTTTCGCTTAGCTGGTCTGGCCAGTCGAATATTATAGCCTCCGGTGGGGAAGACTTTCGCTTTAAGATCTGGGATGCGCAGGGCGCCAATTTGTACACGAGTGCGGCCGAGGAGTATGCCATTACGAGCGTGGCCTTCAATCCGGAGAAAGACTATCTGCTGGTGGGCACCTTCAACATGCTCAAGCTGTGCCACAGCACGGGCGTGAGTCCACAACCGACTAATCCTTCCCAGCAAATCTCAAGTTCCAATCAATTTTAGTGGTCCTACAGCAGCGCACGCTTTACAGCGCCCAGCGTGGGCTCGTTTTACACGTTGTCCTGGTCAACGGATGGCACTCAGGTCGCCTGTGGCACCTCCACGGGTCAGCTGATTGTGGGCTACGCCGTGGAGCAGCAGCTCATCTCCCGCAACCTAAAGGCAACGAGCACTGGCCGTAAGTGCATCGCCTTGCAGGATATTGCCAACGGCAGCAAAGACGTCCTCGAGTTTCCGCAGCGCGTCATCAATTTCGCCCTCGGCTATGGACATCTGGTGGTGGCCACCACCCACCAGCTGCACATCTACAACGAGAAGTACATCAACACGCCGATAATAATTGATGGCCGCAACGATGCGCGCGTCATTGAAGTGGGCAAGAAGTGTGTGTGGCCAAGGGCAGCTCGTATTGTTTAGACCTTCCCGTTAACTGTCCCACTTGCAGGTACTTCATGGTGCTGGATGCCGCCTCCATTTGGGTATACACCTATACGGGTCGGCTGCATCTCAATCCTCGCTACCCAGGCTCACAGGCCCAGCTGCCGCTGCTGAATTGGCGCTCCATATCGCTGGGCCTGGATGTGCTCGCCATACGGGACAACTCGGAGACATCGCTGGTGCATCTGTTCGATCTCATTCCCGGCGCCTCGCGTCAGTACGAGCCACAGTCGCTGCGCGCCAAACAGCAGCTCGCCGAGATCGCCGCCTGCCTGGCCGGCAGTCCGGATGACCAGTTCATCGCCTTCATCGACACCAATCGCGAGCTGTACATCAGCGAGACACGTAATCTCAACGGCGGGGGCACAGCTGAGCGCCTGGCCAATGCCGCCGATGAGATCCACAAGATTGGCACCCAGCTGACGGCTATCAAGTGGGCCAGCGAGACAAACATCTTAGTCGGCGTGCACGACTCCTGCTACAGCGTCTGGTATTGTCCGGGCGAGGGTGCAGCCGATCCCACAATCATTGCACTCACGACAATAACACTGGACACAGCGTACGTTAAATATCACAAGGCTTTCGTCGAAATTAGATTCCGCAATTCTTATTATCTACTTGATATACTAATTCAATATTTAAATTCGAGTTATGACTTGACTCGTTTCAGTGAGTTTGGCAAGCACGTGGCCATCGATAGCTTTGAGGATGCTGTGATCACGTTTCGCTGCGCCGGCGCCCTGTTGCCAGTGAATGTGAACATCTATTGCGAGGTGCTGCATCGCAGCCTGCAGGAGGGGCAGTGGCAGCAGGCGTTGAAGATCTGCCGGCTGGCGCAGCACACGAGCCTGTGGGCGACACTGGCTGCGGTGGCCACCAGGAAGCATCAGCTGCAGCTCAGCGAGGAGGCCTACTCGGCAGCCCTGCAGATCGACAAGGTTAGCTACCTACAGCACCTGAAGACCCTGGCGCCCTCGAGTGCCGAGCAGATGGCCGAGAACTCGCTAATGCTGGGCCGGCTGCTCGAGGCGGAGACTATACTGCTGCACAATCGCAAATATGGCCAGGCGGTGGCCCTGGCTCTGCGCATGCACAGCTGGAAACGTGCACTGGAGATTGCTCTCAAGCATCAGACGGATCAGCCTGATCTGAGACTGGTACAACGCGTGCTGGAGGAGCGACAACGCTATCTGAAGGCCCTGCAGCGCGATGAATGGGATGCACTGTACCTCAGTCACGTGGTCAAGGATGACAATGTTAGTGAATAAAGATAAGGACTTAGGAGAGCTCGAGGGAGTATAATGACAAATATCACTAGCATTTGTTCTTAAAGTCCTTTGTACTTAAGCCTACATTCAGTTTATATACTATTATTTACAACTAATATATATATTGTTTTAATATTTGCCTGGGTTCCTCAGTTCAGTACGCTGACCTGACCATGGGTCTGCCCTCAATGGCATTGATGATGTTGTTGGCTGCCAGGAGACTCATTTCGATGGTCGTCTTCATGGTCTGCGTGCCCAAATGGGGCAGAACGACTGCAAAAGAAGCAAAGCTTAGACAATTCTCTTGCAGACATAGATTGGCTAATACGCACCACAATTGGGCAGCTTGAGGATGGGGCTGTCGGCTGGCAGAGGCTCCGGCGTGGTTACGTCCAGGCCAGCGGCAAGGAATTGGCCAGTGCTCAGTGCCTCATGCAGATCAGCCTGATTGACCAGACCTGCAATAGATGATGTAGTAAAAATTGTATTAGCTGACCCGACCCCATGCCCACTCACGCCCACTCACCGCCTCTGGCCACATTGACAAAGACCGCGCTGCGTTTCATTTGCCCGAAGGCCTGCGCATTGAATTTTCCGCGGGTTTCGTCGGTGAGGGGCGCAGCCACCACCAGGAAGTCGCTCTCCCGCAGCAGACGCTCGAAGGGCACATGCTCCGCCTGGAACTGCACATCGTTCTCCTTGCGGGTTCGCGTCGTGTAGAGTATCTTGGCCACATCCCAGCTCTGCAGACGCTTTGCTATGGCCTGGCCAATGCCGCCGAAACCAAAAAAACCAATCACAGAGTCACGAATCTCCACACCCATTCGCCAGTCGATCTGCTCCGTGACCCACTGTGAGCTGCAAGGGAAATTTCGAAAATTAAATAACTTGCCAGAAAATACTTTTATTAATAATTTCTTATAGAAAACTACTGTTTTTTTTTTTTTTCAAATAATAATCTTACCCTGAATTCAAGCAAGAATTCCTCAAATTTGACTTGTTTTTACTCTTAGCTATCATTTTTTTAATGCACAGCTCTGAAAACTAATTATTTAAATACCTCTAACAATTTTGAATATTTTTTTAGTACAAGAAAATACGTTAGTTTGCGATCTCAATTTGAAAGTTCAAGAAAAGTTGGCAGCCCGAGCAGAGCTTAAGCTTTTGGTTGGAAAAGCTCTTGTCTAAGCTTTTGCGCACAGCTGATACTAACGTCTCGATGTCGGAGCGTCCCGCATGAAAGTGTCGACCGGCTGCAATCATCAGGCCAATGGCCAGATCCGCCACCGCGTTCTTGACCACGCCCGGCGTATGGCCCAGAGGAATCCCGCGGCGCTTGAACTCCGGCACATCCGCAAAATCAATGCCCGACGACATGGTGCTCACGGCGCGCAGCTGCGGCCCGGCTGCATCGAGTATGGCGGCGTTCAGCGGCTGATAGTGCGCCCAGTAAATGGCATCCATGCCGGGCACCTTCTCCAGAATCTCTGCCCGCGACGGCGGCACACTCTGGCAGACCACAGTCTCGGCGCCGTGTGAGCGCAGCAGCGCCAGCGCCGGCGCCGGCACCTGCGGATGCGAAATGAGAACCTTGAACGCTCTCGCAACACTCATCACGAAGAGACGCGACCTGACTTGCCCGGCGGTCAGCTTTAAACTAAAACAGAGCATGGAATATGATGTAAACTAATCAATACTTGAGCTTTTTGCACAAGCTCTCTCTCTCTCTTTCTTACTCTTACTATTTCTCTTTCTCTTTCCTTATCTGTCAGTTGTTTACCAAGATCTGATTGCAGCTACTATAGGCATTACTTAGAAAATGACACATCCTGATAGACTGGGACTATATAACTCTATTCCTACGAAGCACACATATACATATATATAGATAAATTTGTTATATATTTTGCGATAAAAGTTTCCGAAATGAAGTTGAAATGAATTCCACTTTTCTTGAACATGAACCCAAGAGTTTCGCGAGGCGCCGTTTAAAATGTGTTGCCTTAAAGAGTTCCCAAGTCGTTTTTCCACCGATTCTGAGCTGTTGCTACAATCTGAATAGGCATACATATGCAACATTCGCATTTGATATTATATTATTTAATTTACAATCATTCACACAATCAATTGTTAATAATGTTCACAGCAATAATCCTCGCACGCTTCAGTGGGTCTCCCGTGCATTTCCATGCTTTTCCTAATAGGCCGGCGACAGCATCCGCTCCCCGGCCAAGCCGCGCAGCACGTTGTGAGCGGCAATCGTGGCCATGTCGGAGCGGGTGCGCGTGGTGGCGGAGCCAATGTGGGGTAGAATAACTGAAATGAGCAGCAAAAAAAAAAACAAAAACAAAAGTGAAGTGTGTTTACCTTGAGCTGCAAATACATACAGATACTGTACTTAACGATCTGTGAACAGACAAGTCTATCAAGTCAAGGCTTAGCCAGTGCTGGGCGTTGAGGTCAAAAGGGTTCAAGGTCAGTCGGATTATGTTTATGCTAATGTGTTAAATGTGCTAGAGTCGAGCCTGCTTATTCTTTTTTTCCTATAGCACTTTTCGCTAATGCCAGTCAGAATTATAACTATAACGAAATTCTTTCAAACTATTTGCACGTTTGCCAAATATTTAGTTGTTATTTCCAATTTAATTTGATTTAGTTGAAATGTTTAACAGCGCATTTAACTGTGCCATGCTAAAAGGGGCTTGGCGGAAACGAGATTCCCGTTAAGATATGTATACGCTAGGTATACGCTTCCAAAAATAATACTTTTCCGTTACAATTTCAATTCAAAAATCAAGAAATTATAGTAATAAAAAATTCTAATGCTAATGCTACGAATAATGCACCTACTTATTATATTGCTAATGCTAATGCTAATGACAATGATAATGATAACGCTGCTGCTTATGGTGGTTATGATAATGCTAATAATAATGATAATGATAATAATGAAAAGTAATAATAATAATATTTATATTTAACTATATATGAATAATATTAGCAAGAATTCTTAAGAGCCCTCATATCAATTTTAAGTTTCTACCAATTAAATTAATTTTCGCGCTATAATTATAAAATATATATACATAAATATTCTTTATGGAGATAACCTAGAAAGAACCTTGGTCATCAATTGAAAAACTAGCCCAAAAAAAAAAAAACAAAACTCTCTAATTTGTTGGAAAACAAACGCTAACGCAACTGAAGATAAGACTAAGTCACCACAGCGATAAGGCGACGACTAATTATCACTAAAAAATGTATGTATGTACCCAAATTTATTTATAAATAAATATAATACTCACCGACATTGTCCAGGGCGAGCAATTTGTTATTGGGCGGCAGGGGCTCGGGATCGACAACATCCAGGCCGGCGGCAAAGATGCGGTTCGATTTGAGCGCCTCGTAGAGATCGTCCTGGTTGACGATTTCTGGAAGCAGATGAACGGATGAGCAGGGCAGGCATGGGTGGCATGTAGCTGTACTTACTGCCCCGGGCAATGTTGACCAGGACGGCGGTCTTCTTCATCTTGTTGAAGGCGGTGGCATTGAAGATGCCCTGCGTGGCCGGGGTCAGGGGTGAGGCGATGACAACAAAGTCGCTCTTGGCCAGCAGCTCATCGAACTCCACCTTTTTGGCGTTGAGCTCCTTTTCGGTTTCCCTGTCGATGCGACGCCGTGTCGTGTAGAGCACCTGGTCAATGTCGAAGCCGGAGAGGCGCTTGGCAATCGCCTGGCCAATGCCGCCGAAGCCGAAGAAGCCAATGACAGAGTCGCGCACGTCCTGGCCGAGCAGCCAGTTCAGATGATAGTTCTCCCAGTTGTCGCTAAACAAACGCTTATGAATAAGGGCTCCGGATAATTTCTGCTTTGGCTTACGTGTCGATCTTTCGGCGTGCCTCGTGAAAGCGACGACCCGCTGCGATGAGCAGACCCACCGCCAGATCGGCCACAGCTGTGTTCAGCACGGTGGGCGTGTGACCCAGTGGAATCTTGCGACGCTTCACCTCCTCCAAGTCGACGTAGTCAATGCCCGCCGACATGGTGGAAATTGATTTCAGCTGTGGCCCGGCGGCATCCAGAACTTCGGCATTGAGTGCATCGTGTCCGCCCCAGAAGACGCCATCGACGCCCTTGATTTTCTGCAGCAACTCCGCACGGCTGGGCGGCAGGCTCTGCACCTGGACGAGCTCACAGTTCTCCTTGAGCAGATCAATGCCCGACTGCGGCACTTCCGGATGGGTGATCAGCACCTTGAATGGCTTCGCGGACATCGTGCGATTCCTGGAACTGCGCAACAAAGAACCATCATTGGGTGTTACCAACAGGGCCACACAGCAAAACAGCGGCAGCAACAAATTCAATTTCACAGCCATTCTGCTCGAAGATAGGCTTGGCCAGCAACTGAGCCGCATACCCACCCCGGCTGTGTATATAGCGACGGCCGCCCAACCTGGCCCCAGTTGCCGATGATCAGCGACGACACGCTTCTGAACCGGTTAAGCATTCCTAGTTCGGTTTTAATTGGTTTGTGCTCTTTCGATTTCGTGCCGCTCACTAGAAAGAGAGTCTGCCGTGCAATGAGTATTTTAAGAGAGCAACAAGTGCTGACATTCTTATTGGACGTGTTGACAAGCGGGAATATGTCACGGCTCCAGTTATTTCTAACTGGAATCAAGCACTACGCTTAAGGTTGAAAGTACTTTAGAAGTGTCTGAAGCTTAGCAGAAATGTAGGGTGTTTAAATAACATAAAGCTTAGCAGAAATGTAGGAAGTGTTTAAATAACATAAAGATGTGGGAAAAAATTAAAAAAGTTTTATTAAGTTTTATTCGTAGAGAAGAAAGAATATTTGAATATTCAAATATATTCTACACGATTGAGGATCTAGTTGTATTACTTATTATCTATATATATAATTGCTGGCAATTTGCAATTATATTTCACAATAACAACATAACATTTTATATTGCAAACGACTTTATGTTATATTGAAAAGGTTTGCTTCTGAAGAATTTTAGTTTCTATGGCAACAATCAGCTTTCAATTGCAATGTGCTAGAATAGACACACTTCAGCCAGGGTATTTAATCTTCGGCAACCTATCTCTAAAAGTTCTATTTTCTAGCTGCTACACTTAGATTATAAACATGAGATAAGATTTGATTTTGTTTTTGCTAATAAAAAAAACAGTTCTTCAATCAATTTTATGACGTAAATTTCGCTGCTATTATTCTTTTTAAGTATTTAGCAACATTTCGATTCTTGTATGATGGAAAAATACCCCATTAACATTCAGAATGTCAAAGAACAAATCATAAACACTTTTTCCTCTCTTCCTGTGGTTGCTGAGCGGATCACTAAGAGCGCAATTGTTCCCATGTAAACCGCAACTAATAAATTTTGTTTTTAATTACAAAAAAAAGTCTGTCAGACTAAAGCTCTGTTCGCTCTGTTGGGAACTGAATGTCAACTGAAAGCTGTTATGTGCTCTTAACAGCCGCTGCTCTCACTTGCGCTGCCGCTCTTCAAACTCACCAACTATTACTCTCTGGCACTTGGGAAACTTAACGGCTGGGCGTTTGCCGAGCGACTGAATGGAAAGTCAATCAGTGGCTAGCTTTTTATACAGTTACTAACTTGACAATTGCCAGAAAAGTTGATGACTATGGTGGATAAAAGCTTTATTATTTTCGGTGAGCAATCGCCCACTAAAAATGGTTTATGATTAAGTTGTATTGCATTTGATCAAGTCCAGAGCAATTGAAACTCTGCTTATCTTTTCAACGATCATCCAGCAAGCATTACCCCTCGTTTGCGTCGACGCCCCCGCGCAGCGCATGGCATTCAATTTTTCTTCAACTTTTGTTTATTTCGCTCTCGCATTGCACATTTTGCCGCTCTTTGCTTATCTCGTTTTGTTTGCACTGTTTCTTATCTGAATGGACAGCCAACTTGTCCGTCCCAGTCGCTGTTCCCGTCTCTGTCTCTGTCTCTGGCTCTGGCTCTGTGATTGTGAACTCTTTAGCTGGCCCGCTGCTGGGCTAAGCTGCGCGCCTGCTCAAAATACCAGTTGGGGATTTTTTCCATGTCATTTGTGGCGCTCGCATGCGAGTCATTTCCAATTGGAATGGGACAGGTATCCCCAGCTCTGGTGGAGTCGAGTCGCCATTGGAACGTTGTGGAACCTACTCACACGCCAAATGCTTGGCCCCCGCCAACGCCAGATTCACAGCCTGACACCGCTTTTTTTGTGAGCGGATCTGCTCAAATATTGTCCGCATAGCAGCAGGCGCGCAGAGCCGCACAGCTGCTCTCTTCCGCCCCGCGCTTTTAAATCCCATCTCTCTGTGAAAGCAGCAGCAAATAAACAAGAAACAGCAGATGGCGTTGACGTTGACTTTGGCGCTGTTGCTGTCGCTGGCGTCGGCGTCGGCGTCGGCAGTTGTGTGCGTTTGCATGGATCAGGCGGGGCAACAACTGCCTTGCAGGGCTGTCGCCGAATGCACGTAATTATACCCTGCATTGCGTGTTAGCAGCCGGGTAGTCTAAGTTACCAACTCATTTAGTTGCACTTGTGGATATTGTGTATGCGGTTGAAGAAATTAATATAGTTAGGTACAAATGTAGTATAAAGATATAGTTGAGATTGAGAATAGACTTGAGCTAAGATATAAAGACATGTATCTAGTATGTAAATATTAGTGTAAGCTTTATAAGGGATTATATATTGTGCTCCAGCTTTAAAATAAAAAGAAAACATAAAATTCAAGTCCAAAGTCTCAGCCTGCTTTAAAATCACAAATTAAATATGTTATGATAAATTGTTTATATTTTTGTATGTTTAAGGTAAACAATTAAATAACAGTTCATACTTTTAGGCTTGGCAAAATAAAACATATGTACATTCACATACATACACATACATATAAGAGCTCAGAGGGTATTTGAGAGTCGTGCATTTGATTCTTCTTGTGGTTGCAATCGTAATTGTGACGCCACGATTTCAAGCTTGGGGCTGAGAAGTTCGCTGTGCGCTTTGGAGAGTTTCTAGTCGCGGCTGCACTTTGCCTAATTGCAAAAAGGTTATTGGCCCAGAGTTGCCAGTTGCCGGTTGGCAGTGCTGCCAGAGTTGGCCCCCAAAGTGCGAGGGTGGTTAGCGGTGGGCGCCAGGCGACGTCTCGCGCGTCTCTCTTTGTGGCTGCGTCCGCTGTTTGGCGTCGCTGTCGCTGCTAGCGCTTTGTTCTTTTGCTTTGTGGTGATTTTCTTTTGTGGCGGCTCTCGCTCCAGTAGTTGGGCTCGCTGGGTGTCTGCTGGCTTTTATGCTTTCCTGTTACCAAAACACGATGCGTCATTTTGACTGACGTAACCAGGAGACAGCTGTCTATCAGTTGCGACCGTCGTGCCGTCGACGTCGTTGTCGTTTACCGTTACGCCCGCTGCCGATGGCAATGACAGCGCTCGCTGCGGTTTGGCGAACAAGTGCACAGCATTCAGCAGACAGCAAAAAGCACTCGAGCAAAATAAAAGATGAGCTACACACACAAACACAAACACAGACACACACCATACATTCGCAATGCACAGTTACACGAAAGATTGCGTGGCGCCGTCGTAAAGTTACAGTTGTAGCCAACGCGGGTAGCACAAAGCTAGCTGATAAGCGACACCACTCTGCCCCCCACACTCCCACCCCCAGGCGTTCTCCTTCCATGTGTTTGATCACGCTGCTTAAATAACGGCGTTTGTCAAGGGCAGCGCCCACGACATCAAGGGGCAGCATCCAGCAGCAGCCGCATTCTGTTTGCTTCATAATCAACTACAGCGCAGTCGAAATCAAAAATGGTTGCCCAGCTGCAAGCCACAAAGCTGCAAAGGCCGCCAGTCAAGTGCATATGCCATGCGCAGGCGCCAAAAGACGAAGCGGCGCCTACAGCCGCGAACGGGCCACTGCCGCCAGCCCAGCAGCAGCAGCAGCAGCTACCCAAAAAAAAACCGGGTAAGCACAAAAACAAAGCACCGAGCACCGTTAATTTTTTTACGTGCTGTGAAAAACGGTCGAAAAAAAGCAACGCGCAGCATTGAGGCAGGTCCCTCTACGCGATACGAGCGAACAGGCGCGCAAGCAGCAGCAGCAAGCGACAATGCGACGTCGGCCACGCCAGCTGAGCGAGCAAAAGCTATATTTTGTGTGCGTGTGAAAGCATGTACGTGTGCGCGTGTGTGTGAGCAGTGCCAACACAAGCGGGCGCCTACGTCACAGCAGCACATGAGCAGCCAGCAGCAATCGCAGCGAGAGCGCGCGCTCGCTTGTGTGCCTGCTGAGAGTGAGAGAGCGCCTCTGGCTGCGTGGGAGTACTGCCGATGTGTGCGTGTTTCGGTGTGTGTGTGTGTATTTCGGTTCACTTTGCTGTGACTGTGCTTCAATTACCGTTACATGCGCTGCGCGCAGCTATTGTATTGTTAACATTGACTGACACCAGGCACGGGTCGTAATTTACATGCCTCTGCACTTGTACTGTTAGCTTCTGTCCATACAGTGAGAGACAAAAAGAATGCTGTCTGAGTGGGACAAGACACACACACACACACACACACACACACACAGAACGTAGTTGGCTTTGTGGAATTGAGCACAGGGCTTTTTGTTTTTGGTTTTTGTTTAATAGCATTTGTGCTTTGGGAAAACGAGTGGAATTCTCATGCTGTTCTCATGTATATTTTTGTTAGATGCAGGCATGCAGCAATTATTATATTCACAAACAATTTAAGCAGCATCGTTGCAGTGTGTCTGTGTCGCTATTTCAATTTCGAATTTGATTCACATTCGCGCCAAACTCTGATGTGGGTGCAATCGATCCGTTTGATTCCGGGCCAGATGCAGAAACTGCAGCACTGGCCGCCACGGCCACAACGCGATAGGGAAACGAGCGCCCCGCCGCAGGCTGCAATTGTCGCACCGACACCTCCTCCTCCCTCTCCATGTTGCCCAGCATGGGCTCAAACAAATGATGGAACAGGCTATATGGCTGGGCGGTGACACTCCTGTTGGGCGATGCTGGCCGCTCCGACGAAAACGGCTGCGGCTACAAGTCGAAACCCAATTAATTTCTCTCTCTCTCTCTCTCTCCCCTCGTGACCTACCTGCAACAGTGTGGTATACATCTGATCGGCATAGTTGAGCAGCAGGCGCAATCCCTGGAAGCCCTCCTCGCGTTCGGGATGCTGACGCAGCTCCTGGGCCGCTGCATTGGTCATTCGGGTCAGTATTTGGACCACCGTCGAGAGGCTGCTCACCAGACGCATCACATCATTGTTCACATCCACGGCCTGAGGCAGCATGAACCACTCGGGCGTATGCCCATTGGAGCTGCTGAAGCCAATAGCTTCGCTACCACCGCTACTGCTGCTGCTGCTGCTGCTGCTGGTACTGCTGCTGCTGCTGCTGCCGCTGATGGAGGTGGGGCTGGTGGTGTTGGTGGTGTTGGTGGCAATGCGCATCTGGCGGGGCTCGACGATGACAATGGCTGTTGGGGGAGCCTGGTGGCAATTAGGCTAGGCGTTAGCTGTCATGGGGTTCGCGCTGTGGTTACCTGATCGCCATCCGTAGGCTCCTTACAGTCGTCTGGAATCGACCAATCGCCAATGGAATTGGATGCCAAGAAGCTGGCGCCGCTGCCTTCCTTGCTGCACCACATAAATGGATTTGGATTTTCAAATACTTTAGATTTTAAACACGGTCTATACATTGTACGCTTGTAAACGAACTAAATGGAAATAGCCAAACGTTTTCAAATTGTCCGCTTGCTACGATCCGACACTGAAACTTATCTCTTATCTTCAGAAAATACTCGGTCTGATAATTCACTCACCCAAGAGGCTCGACACATCCACATGCGTACTGTACACAGAATCGGAAATATATTTCAGTGTTCGTTATGAAGGCTCGTTCTAGAAGCAAGTCTTTCAATAACTATGCCAAACTTAACAATCGAATGTGGATCCAAAAAAAATCAAATACATTACATCTTAAGTAGACCAGCATACCAAACTTAACGAACCTAGCTTAAATAGTTCCCGAGATTCTACAGATTAGAGATAAACAATTGAGCTCCAAAAATGTTATTGTATCGAAGGAATTGCGACCTTCTTTTCTCTTCTATTCTCAATAGAAATAAGTACAAAGCTTAGAGAGATTTTCTTAGGGGATTTTTCATTAAGTTTTGAGAATTTCGGGAAATAATGTCTCTCCATACCATAGTAAGTATATCGAGTATATACTCGGATATCGAGCGGATTTAGGTGCAACAGTAAATAAAACTCTGATATTATTATTGAAGAACTATATCCTATAGCATCCTATTCGTTCTGTACTTATGTAAGTCCTGTGAACTCTGTATATTTACGCCGGATTATTATAATGTGTAGGAAATATCATAGCAAGCCGATTGTCAGACAGAGGGCAACATCAACATTAACATTAAAATCAATATCCACACAACAGACAAATCGATCGCATCCATTCAAAATATACAAGAACCCTTGTTTAGCGTATTAAGCACCATGGCAGATCGGCTATCCAATAAACACTTACTAAACAACCCCATGCATATGCGCGAACGGATGGACTGGCTGGATAGACTGTTTCCCTTGCCACCGGCACCACCTGATCAGTGTCGCGATGAGTACCTTAGGGAGTTGCTCCAGCCGCGGGAGTCCCATACACATGGATCGGGCCGATTTGTGGAAAGTTCGTCCGATGATAGCATATTGCCCAGAAGAATTCGATTTGGTACCGATATAAAGAGCACCGAGGCGAGGATCGTGGACGAATTTGTAAGAACTCGCTCCGTTATAATCCCGAACAGGCAAACAATGCTACCTAGAAGAACCATAATGCAAGACGACAAATTCAACCCATCGGTCCTAAACAAGATGCTGAGGGATCGTTACGGCAGCATAGCCAAGGCCATTGGCTGCGTAGCCGTGCTCTTCCAGATGACGGAGCTCAAGAACCAGATGGCCGTGGTGCGTGAGATGTGGCGGCATAAGACGAATGCCGATAACTCCCTTAAGATGTTCAGCTGGTCCATCAAGGACTATTTCATGCGCTTAAAGATGCGCGACACGGTCTACCTGGACACCATTGAGCTGGAGCTGAAGAGTCAAATGGACTGCTTCAAGTTTCGCATGGATCTCAAGGAAATCATACGGCTCGTCGATGCTGTGTATGATGACTTTAAGGCCAAGCGCGATATGTGCAACAGATCTATGTTATTGATAAAGTAAGTAAACCACTAATTAATCCTTAAGAAAATATGGGTGTATTAATTTAGAATGATAAACTATGTGTATGAAGCCGTAGGCAGAAAAACACGATGAAATTCCACGAAACTCAAATTGATCTGCTGCAATACAATAGATCCCGGATTTCTTTGCTTAACTAAAGACAACCTCAACTATTTGTTTTTTGCAGAGATGCCCAAGGGGATATTATGGAGCTGTTGTCCAATTCACTGAGGGAAGCCGAGGCGCAGCATAATCAACTGACAAAGGATATGCAGGAGAACCCACGTTTAGCCAATCCGGGCCGACAGGCCAAAATCTATTACATGGATTGTAAGCACACATTTAGATAGATAGATCGTAATACCTGCTATTTGCATTAATCCTATAAACGCCGCTAGTTATGGTACCAATTGAGACACGCTACAAGATAAACTGGGCGCAAGCAATAATGGAGCAGTCCATCTTTTATGATGATCTTTGCGAAAAGGTAAAATAATATTTTGAATATTTTTCACTTGTTATAGACCCTAACGAAACAATAATCTAGTACTGGAGGCTAAGTTATGCCTAATTACAATTTTAAATCAATTATTTCCACTCATTTTCCGTCTGTGCACGCGGAATTACGCAAAACCAGTGAAAAGGTTAGCTATCCCAGATTAAACTTAACAATAAGTTTATTTACATTTATGGTAATTACTTATTATATAATCTATGTATTTTCTGAACAGAATTGAATACTCCATAATATAAAGCAACTGACCCAATAAAATTCCATCAATGAATATCTGTAATATTTGGGGAATTCTACAAATAATGCGCTATTTAGATTACGAATTTTTTTAATTCCACAGCACTTTAGATTTATTTGAAAAACAAAATAAATATCTTTCTGTCCAAACATTTCCATACATTTATTTTCTAACAGGAAATCTTAGATCAGGTGGAATATTTTAAGGCAGACAATCTCGCGGAAGTTCTCTACCTTTACAAGAACATAAACATGGCCTATGTTTTGGAGAACAATAACTATAAGCTGCGCATCTCTGAGACCGAACAGGCATACGAGGAGAGTATGGAGCTAGTCGAAAACGAGATAACTATAACACGCAACAATTTGAACAAGGTGAAAGAGGATCTAGCCTTCTGTATGGAGCAAGTTCCCATGTTTCATAGAAAAATTGCAGAGGTAAAGGCGATTTTGGCCAGCCAAGAAGAGCACAAGCAAGACTTGGTAAGTGAGAGAGTTCCTGCATATTAGATGAAATTAAGCAGAACTTTCTTTACCAGGATCGAATATCGACTCGTGTCTCGAAAAAGAAATCACTCGATAACAAGAAAAAAGAGAAATAGTTTAGTTATTCAAATATCTCCAAAAATAAAATGAGAAAAAAAATTTTACTTAACGTTTAGCTACAATAAAATTTATTAATACCAGAAAACTAAATTGGTGTATATAGATATATATTGTATATATAGTACTTTTGTTTTTTTTTTTTTTTGTTTTTGTTTTTATCAATTTTTCTTTGCAACTGCAACAATTTCATTTGAAAACGTCGCTTGACATAAAATAGTTCATATACACATACAGACTATATAGTAAGTATTTTAACTCTCTGGCTTACATCGAAACATTCGTTCAGCTTACACGATACTAAAATCCTCCACTGCCCTGTTTATCATATCATTATATCAATATCGCATCCTATGACTAATACCTAAACGTACAACTTACAGACACTCATTCAGCCAATTCGTAAGATCTTTTTTGGAAGAAGAAATGCTTTAAACAACTAAAACTTTATACATTTTTTTATACACGCACAGCAGAAATCATAATAATAATAATAATTATCATAAACTTTCGTCATTAACATAGAACAAAAGATAAACTAGACATCAACTTAGTGCTTATGAACTATCAATTAATAATATCAATATCAAAATATTAACCTTAACGTTCTTCGAGTTAAATAAAAAGAACTATTTGATGGTTAACACACACATAAAACTTTCGAGTTAATTAAACAGAAATTTGGTTGGGTCACAACTAAAGATTAGATTTTCAAAGATTACAGATTTGTTTTTCGTTTTTCGTTTTTGTTTTTAATTGTTTTAATTGGGCGCATGCGCCGTGCGCAGCTTGGCGCGCACATTTAGATACTCGGGATTGACATATTGACGCTCCTCGGCATCCTCGGCGTTCTGTTTCTGCGCCGCCGCGCCAACCTTCTGGGCACGCTCCATAATCACGCGTCCCAGCTCGCCCTGTAGACCGGCAAGCTCCGCTTCGGGCGAATGCTGTTCGATTGCTGCTGCCGCCGCCGCCGCCGCATGCCGCTCCTTTTGCTTCTCGTAGGCGCGCTGCAGTTCCGTCTTCTGGTTGAGCACACTCTTGCCACTGCAACAATTAAATGGGAATTGGTCAAAGGATGTTTTTATTAGATCTTATTTCAGTTTGCACTCACATGCGCGCATTGAACTTGAGCTCACGATGCAGCTCCTTGCGATCGGTGTTCTCAATGCAGGGATTGATCAGCTTCTTTGGCAATATGAGACCCTCAGCATCGGTCTGGACACCCGTGGGCGTCGCTGGCGGCGAACTGGACATGGACATCATGGTGCCAGTTACGTTCTCAGCCAAGCAATGCGTTCGCGCAGATGTGTCTGTAAAAAAAACACACACATACAAAAAAACGCCGATCAATATAAATGTCGCTGACTTGTTGAACTTTCTACAAGAAATGAAAAATAATCTGGCCAGTTACTAAGTTTAATTGGCACTTGGCCTTCGTTCCATAAATCAAACAATGCACAACAGCAGCAGCAACAGCACCAGCAAGAACTACAACAAGAACAACAACAACAAGGAAAAGCTCTTATAAAATACGAGCCACACAACAAAAGAGCGGCGAGTGTCTTGCCTCGACTTGGCCGTCTTGACTGTCGCCCGTTTATTAAGGTTAAATATTTCTTTGCATTCATGTCATTGTCAATTTGTTGTTACACAAAAAAAAAACTAACTACAACAACAGAAACTGCCTATCTGTTACAAAAAACAACAGCTTTAAGCCAAAGGCAATGGCCGAGCAAAGCCAACCGACAAGTTGTCAATTTCAAGATTCTTTCTTTGGCCGCAAAACTGCTTTGTTTGCCCCCCGTCATAATAACCCACATTTGGGCGCACATTTCTGGAGCAAAAAAAAATAGTATAAACTATATGAACTAAAAAAAAAATCAACTTTGGTTTAGGCCCAGAACCAGAACTTAAACTAGATTAATAGGTGTTGATAAGGGGACAAACTGCCGTTGGGAATCGCTGATGAGACAATCGCGAGATGTGAAAGTCGTTCAAACTTATGCGTATCTGCAATTTGTTCTAAATTCTTTACAAAGAATATAAAACTCAAACTAATAAAGAGCGTGAAATCAATGCGGAAGCCATTTGTAACAATATTTTCGAATGCTCTGCAAAAATGTGCTCAAAAGTATGTGGCTAGCGGAGGGGCGGAAAAACAAACATACACGAGAGTTTTGCATATGAAATTTAATGGCCCTAGCTTTTAAAGTGTCCGAGTTCAACGGAAATGTTGGCATCGGCCCATCATTTGTAAATTACATATATGAGAAAACATTTGCAGTGCTTCAATTTAATAGTTTGTTCAGGAATTTGAAAACGGAGCGCTATATTTTTATATGAGCATCTTTCCTGTCTGACTTTATTTTAACATATTAGAACTGAACCTATATACCCAATATTTTAGCTGTGCTTCAAGGCTAAACCTAATGAAGTACGAATCGAAGAAGACATCCGCATACCAAATGTGCTTTATTTAAGTCTTAAAACTTCTTAGTTCAATGAGGTGCAAAGTAGATTAAGGCAGCTTAAAGATGCCTCTTTGAAGCTTAAGATACAGTCTAGCATGTAGAAAGCAAAGTTCCTCGGAATTTCTGAGTTCAATTCAGTTAGTTGGCTGGGCAATAGTTTATAGTTAACGGAAAATAATACAATTGAAGCATTCACATATTAAATTAGCTGTCTCTAACTTTTCCAATCTCCTAGTTCCACCATAAAGAACTCTATTCATGGGCTAAGAATTTGCCGAGTCTAGCTCTTTAGGTTGCCAAGTTCGTTGGGGCTTAGTCAAACGTTTATCATAAATTGAAAGACCTAGGGCTTAAGGCAAAACAATGCGTTTGCATTGATTGCTGCAGCTGGAAAACTGAGCATAGTTTTTCATCATTAACCCATATGCATATGACTGGAAGCGTAAAGTTTTCAATTATGCTATATGTCGCGGCGTCTGATATATGAGTTTGGGCTAACTGTACTCGAATGTCATGCCTAGTTTAACTTGAAACGCGCTTAGTTCTATTAACTTTCTTGCATTGCGGGTCATAGGAAATAAACACAAATTTTCCATGGCCATAAACTTGTTCCAAGACAAACAGCTCAAAAAACAAAATAAAAAAAAAACTTTCATTCAGACACCTAAAAACAATGCGAGTGCGCAGCTTGTTTGCTTGATAATATTACAAGTTTTCGTATGATAAATTAAATACACACAGAGTAAGAGAGAGAGAGAGAGATATGTAGAGTGAGAAAGCGAGAGGGGGGCACAACAAGAAGTCGCCGCTTGTCGTTGTCTGGGGCATTGTGGGTCGACTTGGACATGGAGCAACTCGATGAAAACAAATTGCATATAATTAGCTGTTTGGCATGGGAGGGGACGATACCCTTATAAAGACTCGACTGTTATTTCATTTGACTTAATTTCACACCAACACACACACACACGTGCACAACTCTAATGAGTACACCCATGGGTTCTTTTAATAAGGCAGCGGCCCGTCTGCAACCGGGCTTTGCCCGGGGCCTGGGGCTGGGCCTGGACTGCGCGAATTGCGCAAGTGAAAACTTGTTAGACTGCAGCGCGTAATCGTCATCAACATCGACATCGTCATCGTAATCGCATTCGCAGTCGTCCAAGTCTGCATGCCCAACTGTGGCAGAGTGAAAACCATTTATAGTGCCTGCCTGGCAGTGCATTGCATTGCCCTCCCTCAGCTTATTGAACCCACGGCCTTTTTATACGCTAGCAGAGCGTATTCAGATGTGACACGACTCGGGAAACCTGGTTTGCTATAAAGTATATATACTCCTGATCAAGAGGCTAAGCCACATGTCTCGTAAGGTATTCTCCATTCCTATTGGGCACATATATATCCCTGATCAATAATTGATCGCAAATAAAATGTTCGTATTTAAACATTTCCAATCCAAATTTTATTGATAGGGTATAAATTCTTCGCCGTCTCGAAGATAGCCTTTTCTTGTTTCTGGTCTCGAATGCAAATGGAAAACATGTCAAACGGCAAATCAATCAATCAATTAAGATTTGCATATACTTTTCGATTGGGTCACATGACAATATGTTAAAGACTTTGCAGCATATTTCATAATTGCACAGCTGCTGGTTATCAAGAGCTTAAAGGTTAAAGGTTAGCTCGCCTGATTCATGGCCATTTGTCATTTGAAAAAAGAAAAATTAATAATAATCTGCAAGACAAATGCCAACATTTTAAACAAATTTAAAACCTATTGTTAAATTAGTGATAATTTGTTGTAATTGTGTGCAGCGACTCTTAAGAAATGGTTTGATTGATGGCTGCACCAAGAAATTTATGTGTGCATGTCTATTCGAACTTTGAGCTGCTCAATTGGCTGCTTTAGACAGGCAGACCCCCTTTGTTGATGGCTTCACTGAAGTTGTCTCGTTATTAACTGACACAATTAACAGACATTTCTCAATTGAAAGCAACTGCAGCTGTCTTTTAAGCTGAACGAATTGGTGGGCAGCTTGAACTTTTCACATTTTCCAGCACTGCAAAAGACTTGAAGCGAACTCAATTTATTTTCGGACAGTTTAACACAAAAGTTTTCTAGATCACAATATCAAGCTGAAATTTCTGAACAATGGAAATGTTATAATAATTCATAATAACATAATTATGTTAATAAGCATTTCATATATGAAATAATGTTTATTAAATACCTTAATATATTTCAAATTTATGCCTAGGCTTTGCATTTTTAAAGCATTTTACAACACTTACAAATATGAGCAATTAAAAGTCTTAATCTTGCTGCCTGCTCTGTGCACGTTATTTAATTAATCACAAGCGATGACTCGAAAATGCAATCAAAAACACGTTTTCGTATTCAAATTAAACAGGAAAGTTGACCATACGTAAATTTATGAACTGGTGAAGCACAACCAACTTAACAGCTTGCCAAAGCAAAATAAAAACATCTGGCAACCCTCAAGTATATATTTAACTTTTTCCCAGGCAAAATTTGCAGTTTAAAAGACCTTATCCTAAGTTTGTTAGTTACTGAGACCCTTAAAATAGAGTCGTATATGTTGCAATTAAAGTTGTGGAAACTTCATGTTGAGACGCAGCCAACTTAACAAGTACAATAATTTCATGTTGCCAGATCGCTAAAAGAAAAATTAACAGTACAAAATACGGAATGCGTATAAAACAATCACAGACATAACATCTGTGTTAGGTTTTTACTCCAAATAATGTCAAAGTTCTGAGTGAATGTTACTTTAAATGTAAATTTCTCTTGCATTAACCATAAGGCTAAGACGTCAATTGAATATGCATATCTAATTAGACAGTAACTCGAAGAGTTGATCTTTTAAAATTAAATTTCTGCCGCGTGTATTTTGCCCTGAGCACAAGAGATCTGTGGGCAATATCTTGAAAGGCATCTGAAACACGCTCAAGCACGAGTTTACAAGACATTTCGGATTATTTACGACCAGGCTGAAACACACACACACACACACACAAGATTTCACCTGCACACACACAGATGTACACACGCAGGCACATGATTTGTTGTGCTTAAAAAAACGTATTTGTTTTGCTTTAGAATGGGGCATACAAAGAAGGCAAAGAGATATCGAATTTTTGTTGTTAGACTCACTTTCAAAGATCGACATGCGGCTCATGATGCTCGAGGAGATGTGCGGCACCGGACGTTGCATGTTTGTTGATTTATTATAAACAGATATAACTATATATATTGTCAAGGTATGTAATAAGCAAGAGGATGATAGCACTTGAATTTGGATTAAAAACAAACAAGGAAATTTGTAAGATTTCCTAGATATATAAAAAAACACACCAAGACAACTGTTACTGAGTTTTTGCTTCTTCTCTTTTAGACCGAGTTTGACTTAACTTGGCCAATTGCCAGTGGCAAATCAGCTGTTGTCTTATTATTTCTATTGCTCTTGCTGTTGTTCTATGTTGCGGCCAATTGCCTATATTGGCAGCTGCATTCACAGGTGAGACTAAGACACAGTTGCCACTTGTATTTTCACTTGCCCCACGGATTGCTGCCGCTTTCGCTTTCGGCTGGTGTTCTTATCAATGCAACTTATGGCTTCAAACTGGCCCGGCCAGCTAGACGGACTCGGTCTTCGACTCGGATTCGGATTCGGACTTGGACTCGGCGTGGCAAATGCCTGCAATCGATTAACAGCGACGAGTGCAGCGCGGCGACAGCCCACGTAATGCGGCTGCGTTTTTGCTATTTTAGGCTTCCTCATTTGTTGCAACATCAGAAAGAAAGCAAGAAAGCAAACAAA